GAAGACATCCAAATGGCCAACAGACACATGAAAAAGTGCTCAACATCACTCGGCATCAGGGAAATCCAAATCAAAACCTTCATGAGATACCACCTCACACCAGTCAGAATGGCTAAAATTAACAAGTCAGGAAACGAAAGATGCTGGAGGGGATGTGGAGAAAGGGAAACCCCCCTACACTGTTGGTGGGAATGCAAGCTGGTGCAGCCACTCTGGAAAACAGTATGGAGGTTCCTCAAACAGTTGAAAAGAGAGCTACCATACAATCCAGCAATTGCACTACTGGGTATTTACCACAAAGATACAAATGTAGGGATCCGAAGGGGTACGTGCACCCCGATGTTTATAGCAGCAATGTCCACAATAGCCAAACTGTGGAAAGAGCCAAGATGTCCATCGACAGATGAATGGATAAAGAAGAAGTGGTATATATACACAATGGAATATTATGCAGCCATCAAAAGGAATGAGATCTTGCCATTTGCAACGAAATCAATGGAACTGGAGGGTGTTATGCTGAGTGAACTAAGTCAATCAGAGAAAGACATGTATCATATGACCTCACTGATAAGATGAATTCTTAATCTCAGGAAACAAACTGAGTGTTGCTGAGTGGTGGGGGCTGGGAGGGATGGGGTGGCTGGGTGATAGACATTGGGTAGGGTATGTGCTATGGTGAGCGCTGTGAATTGCGCAAGACTGTTGAATCACAGATCTGTACCTCTGAAACAAAAAATGCAAGATATGTTAAGAAAAAAAGAAAAAGAAGAAGAGAGCAGGAGGGGAAGAATGAAGGGGAGTAAGTCAGAGGGGGAGATGAACCATGAGAGAGGATGGACTCTGAAAAACAAACTGAGGGTTCTAGAGGGGAGGGGGGTGGAGGGATGGGTTAGCCTGGTGATGGGTATTAAGGAGGGCACGTTCTGCATGGAGCACTGGGTGTTATGCACAAACTATGAATCATGGAACACTATATCAAGAACTAATGATGTAATGTATGGTGATTAACATAACAATAAAAAATTTTAAAAAAATAAATAAATAAAAGTAAAAATGAAGTCTCTAGAGGTTCAGTAGTTTAGAATACATTTGAATAGCTCCTCAAAAGTCAGAAACAATTTGTTGCATTTTTGCTATCCACCACATAGATGATACAAATGCTTGAAGGACATTGTTAAATTCTGGAGGCAAATTAAAACACTTTTGGACAAACTATTCTGACCTATTTGTTGGATAACCCATAATGCTGTCATTTTTTAGTGGGGTTTGGAGCAACAGAAAGTTCTGCAGGTAGTCTAGAACATGATGCAAACTGTGTTATCCTGTGAGCCTTATGACCCACTAGACCCAATGGCATTGTAAAGGTCTGTGTAGTTTGAGATCAACTGTGGAACCTCTAGTAATGCCCACAGAAGGAACACCGTCCAGACTCCTAGAGTTTTGAAGTAAGGCGTGCTAAGTATTCTCCATTGAAACAAGCAGCTTCTACTTTGATACTTTGATATACTTTGATAATTTGGTAAATTACTGATTATGAGATGGTGAAAGACTATGTGACAAAAATTGACCATCATTAACTGCTATAATCTGTGTGTGATGCTAGTACTCTGTTAAAACGAATGGTAAATACAAGACTGACCAAAACAGGAGCAGAAGATGTACGTAAACTGCACAAGCGAATGGTGTACATTTGAGTGGTAACTACTTCTACTCCTCAACTCCTTGTCTGTCAACTCTCCTTATGGCTCTATGGGGAGTTCACTATACTGAGTTCACAAAGGAGGGAAAAACTGGCTTCTAGATGTGTCTGCAAGATATGGTGACGTCAGCTATAAGTGAAGTCCTGCTACCTTACAGCCACACTTAGGGGTCACCCTGAAAGGGTATGGTGAAGGCAAATCCTCCCAGTGCACAGAGTTTGGTGAGGTATTTTGGCTGCCTATATTTGCTGAAGAAGGAATGTCTTAACTTTAGATTAATGCTGATTTATGGTCAATGGCTCGTTATTCAATGGCAATAGAGAACTAGGAAAGAAAAGACTGGAAATTTGATGATAAGGAGGTCTAGAGTAAAGGTGTGTCGATAGACATCTAGGAAGAGGCACAGAATGGAGAGAGAGAAATATGCATAAAGGAATAGGAGATTAGGAGATGGATGAGGATCAGATTTGCTCCGGCCTCTCCCTGTGCTAAGCCCCTGGCTAGCCATGCAGAGCTCTACAATGTAAGATCATTGCTCTGGACGGGGTTGCTTTTACTGCCAGTTTCTGTTAATATTCCCTCCTTTCTTTCAGGGGGTGGTAATGTCTTCCTCTTGTCGCCATTTAGTGCTTCACCGTCCCCTCTTGGTTTCCCTTAACCCTTTCTATGCTTTGTCAAGAGTGACTTTGTTAGATTTTCTCAATTATCCTATATAAGGATAATATTTAATTGTTGCTCAGATCCTGATTAATAGATTCCCTTCACCAACTACAATAATAAATTCCACTGAAGTAGATCTTTATTTTATTCACCCCCCCCCGTTACTCTGGCATGTAGGATGATATGTGTCATATAGCAGATTTCCAATAAATATGTTGAATGAATGTATGTATTGACCACTTTCCATTAGTGATCTGTATGTTAGCTCTATTATGACTAATTTACATAGTCCCACCAGCCTTTCTGTGCTTAACTATTTTTAATTCATTAAAGAATGACAAATAATCATAAATATTGGGGGGAAAGCAGGCAAATTTTTCATTATGAGCATGAAATCCAAGATAACTAGTAGAAAGTCTGGTGAAACAATAATAGAGTTCTGCAAGAAATAATGTTAAAGAAAAATAAACAGCTTTCCTCTATGTAAATAAGTATTCTTGTTAGAAACTATTTGAAAATTTCCATTTGTAATCATATCAAAAATCAGACAGAAAATATATGAACACCCATATTAACATTTATAAGAAAAGTTACTCATGTTAAGAGATTTAGGGAAGATAAAAAATTATATTAATCTTAGATTGGACGGTGTCATTGCAATTATGGAAATATCATATCCAACCAATTAAGTCATAAATGTAGTTTGTTGCTAATTAAAATCTCAACATAAGTTTTTTTAGAGGTTTGACCCTAAAAATTTTGTTAAAGTTTAGATGAATAGAATGTGAGAACAGTTAGGAAAATTCTGAAAAGTACTAGTCATGAGAGGGGATTAGCTTTACTTAATATTAAAAGTCATAATAAAGCTACAATAATTCACACAGTGTGATATATGGTACAATGATAGACCAGGGAATAGAACATAAAATCCATAGACAGATCTGAGTAAATAATGAGTTACAAGTAAAAAAATACAAAAATACAAATTAAAAAGTAATACATTTCACATTTATATGGAAACGTTGAATTATTAAATTATGTCACACTTTGGATCATAATCAATTCAGGGGATAAATCTGCATCTTTCTTTCAACTTTCATCTCAGAGATTTAGATACAAAAATATATGAAATACTTGAAAAGAAAATTAAGTTGGGACAACCTTTCAAAACTTGACACAAGTCCCAAAGGCCAAAAAATAAGGCTGATAAATCTGACTATGTAAAACTTAATATTACTTTATGGGCAAAAACAAGGGTTTGATGGGGCCTCTGGCTGCTGAGCATCAGGGTGTGGGTTGATGATGAGCATTTTCTGAGAAAGGCGCTGAGGTTACATATGTGTGTGTGCGTGTGTGTGTGTGTGTGTGTGTAAAACATTTCCATGAAGAACTTTGAAATTTTCTTTAAACATTCATATTTTGAATTCCTATAAAAGTTTTTGGTGATGTCTGAGCTACAGATGTAGCTTTCCTTTTATGTCAGATGCCTAATGCCAAGTTCTAAGGAGGTTAATTGAATATTCCACTCTTCTCCATTGCTTTGCAACACCATTTCTACCACAATAAAGTTCTTAAGTTCCCTTGTTTTATGCCTGTACATGTATCCTGCAAAGTCCTTTCTAAAAGATGCATGATTTGCATCTCCCTGAACATTTGCTTGATTATTTTATTTTGCTTTGTCATTTTTTATGCATTAATTACTTTTGAAAAGTGTGCCTGCACTTCCCCTACTTTTTTCTTTCTTTTGGTTAAAAGATTTTTTACTTTTACTTTTCCTGGATTTCCATTTTCTAGTAACATATAAATGTCACAACCTTAATCCTAAGAGATATTTTTATGTCCCTTGACTTCTCTTAGCCACTTAGAGTTCAATAGGCACACAGGTGAAGAAGATCCCATTTAAAATTTTGTTTTCTACTTTGCACTACTTTCCACACAGAAAATTAGAATACAGCAAAATAAGCATCCATTCTTCGATTTTAAGTTTTCCTTGCCATATATGTCTTTTCTTTTAAAAGGTAAAGCCAATTTACAAATGTATAATTTCAATCTTAAATACTTAACTATTTGTGCCGTTAAGTAAATTACTATATTTCCTATGTGATTCCCATATTAGTTTCACACCAAACAAGAGTAATCGTGTGTTCCTTAATATTCCTAATTCCCAGCCCATATTTAAATTTCCCAAATTATCTCCATAGTCTGTGGTAGCTGCTGTCTTTTCAGTCGGGATCTGATCGAGGGGCAAGCATAGCATTGGATTGTAAAGGTCACATTAAAACTAGAACATCTGGGGGCACTAAAAGAACGTGGGCAGAAAGATGGTCACCGACAATATTTTACCAAATGTCTCAAAAAGCGGAAAATACCGCGAAGTCAAGAAGCGAGCGCAGAAGACAATGGGAAATGTAGTCGACTCCAGAGGGATCACCGCGCAGCACTCCGGACACTGGTCCTCTGGCTTTCTTCTGCGCATGTGCTGTCCCAGCCCCGCCTCTTCCTCTCTGATCTCCGTCCGAGGAGGAGGTGCGCACGTGGAGCGAGAGCGCTGAGTGGCGGGGCCCAGCGCGTGTGGGGAGCCAGCGTGGAGGACTGGGCTTGTGCGGGGGCGCTGAGTAACACCTGGGAGCAGCTAGGGCGATGGGGACTCCCCGAGCCCGGGACGCGCGCCAGGCCCGCGATCAGCGTGGGCAGGTGGAGCTGAGCCCGGTCAGAAGCAGGTGCTCTGTGCGGGGTAGGCTGTGCCGGGACCGTGAGCCCGACCCTGCGGGCAGCTCAACCGGGGAAAACCCTTCCCCGCAGCGGGAGGGGAAAGCGCGTTCCTAACGTTGACAGCTAACGTGCTGGAAAGCGAGGGAAGCTGGTCTGCGGTGGAGCCCGAGTGGGGGAGCCGCAAAGACCAGGTAAATTTCAAGTCCGCCACCTGTAACCGGGGAAAGAGTCACTCTTCTGGAAATGAGGATAATAATAAGGTCTGCTTCTTGGCGCTTCTCTGAGTTAGGTAAGGGGTCACCTGTGAAGCCTGTAGCTTGGTGCCGAGTCCACGTAGCAGCACACGCTTTGTCCCTGTGGGAAATCTAAGTCTCAGATTAGTGAGATATTAGAGTCTGAGAGGGCCAGCAGGGTGTCCACTGTCCTGTCCCGTTTACTTTGCTCTCTGAGTTCTCTAACGCAAGGAGTAAAATGATATTCCTAGAACAGTGGATAAAGATGGAGCCTGAGTCTTTTTTCTATGTTAATTTTAATGAAAGAGCAGTGCTTTGTCCTTTCCTATACTCGAATCATTTGTTGTTGTTTTTTCTATTATTTTTTTTAAGTTGATTAAAAAAAAAAAGGTGTAGTAACCTGCAGGTTTATGTCCCCGTAATCACTTCAGGGACTCATGTGGACAGTTTTTGTTGGCTCTGCATGGTCATTCCATGTCTTTTCAAGGGCCCAAACGCCCTATCCCTGTAGGGAGCCTGCGCCCCATCTGGGATGCTAAGACTTTGTGGAACCGGATGTAGGAGCTGTGAGGCATGCCAGATCTCTTGACTCCCTCCTCTTTCTTTCCACCCAGCTGAGTCTTAAAATCTCCCAAGAAGTGCAGAAAATGAACACATCTCAGGTGAGCATTTTACTCATTCCTCACTTTGTATTAGGATGGATATAAGAAGTTTATAAAGAGTCCATACATTCAGAAAAGTAGAAATAGATTTAGATCAAGTTAAGCTTTACTTTTTTACACTGTTTTACACTGTTTACCATTAATCCTGATTTTTAATGTTAGGATGCGAGTAGGCACCCTTTATCAGTATAAATAGAGTCCTTCCTATGACAGTTTGCTAAGATGTTGTTTAGTCATAAACATGCAAAAGTTATGTTCTAGTTGGCCCAAATGTGGAACTAGAATTTCAAGGTCTGAGGGTGGGCTCAGATTTTATGTTGACAGTGTCCTGTGAGTTAAGGGAACATATGCCCAGTGTTTTGGTCCTTCTGCTTCTGCATATCCAGCTGTGAATTTTTTTTAAATTTTGGATAGTGTATTCATATGGCCCAGGATACATACTGAGAAGCCCTACTCCTGCTAGCATACCTGTTCCTATCTATATGATGTCCTCTACTATTTTCGTTGGAACCAACAGTTATGCGTACCATATATTCTTGCTTTATAGTTTGTTTTTTTCGTAAATATAATTTGGACATTTTTCCATATTGATAATTAAAAAACATCTTCATTTTTTATATAGCTGCATAGTATTCCATTATGTAAAATAGTGATTATTTAGCCAGCCTTCTATTGAAAGAGACATTTGGGTGGTTGATAATTTTATATGTTTGTATGGGTGAAACTATAGGCTAAAATGGTCAGAGGTTAAATGCTGCTTCATTTTGTTAAGTACTGTAGAATTGTCTCCATAGTGGTGGTTATATTTGTTTTGCTGCATGTGAAGCGTTTATTCAGAATTGGTATATTGATAGCAGCAACGTCCACAACAGCCAAAGTACAGAAAGAGCCCCGTTGCCCATCGACAGATGAATGGATAAAGAAGACGTGGTATATAATATCTACAATGGAATATTACTCAGCCATCAGAAAATTGAAATCTTGCCATTTGCAACAACATGGATGGAACTAGAGTATATTAGGCAAAGTGAAATAAGTCAATCAGAAAAAGACAATTATATGGTTTTACTCATATGTGGAATTTAAGAAACAAATCAAAGGATCATAGGGAAAGGAGGGGAAATAAAATAAGATGAAACCAGAGAGGGAGACAGACCATAAGAGACTCTTAACTCTAGGAAATAAACTGAGGGTTGCTGGAGGGGATGTGGCTGGGGAGATGGGGTAACTGGGGGATGGGCATTAAGGAGGGCATGTGATGGAATGAGCCCTGGGTGTTATATGCAACTGATGAGTCACCAAACGCTACATCTGAAACTAATAATATACTATATGTTAATTGAATTTAAATAAAATTTAATTTAATTTTTAAAAATTGGTATATTGAGCACCTACAGTGCCGCCTGCGCTATGGTAGTTACTGTGTAAACAGCTGACAAAGATGTGTGCCCTCATGTAGCTTACATTCAGGTGATGGGAAGTCGTAAACTTAAAAGACTTTGTGTTTTGATAATTGATATAGAAGAAATAAAATAAGGGACATGTTGTGAGGACCAGTTTTAATTTTAAATAAGTTGATCAGATAGATTTCTCTGAGAAAATACTTGAAAAAACATTTGACAGTTGTGAGGAAGGAAGACTTTTGGGTATCTACAGAAGAACACTGGAAGCCAAGCGAGCTGCCAGTGCAAGTGCTCTGGGGCAGCGTGGACCAGAGGTCTACAACCAGCAAGAACAGCAGTAGGCCAGGGTGGCTGCGCCATGACTGAAGAGGTAAAAGAGTGCAGATCATGTGCGGAATTGAAGGCTATCACGCTTTTCACCCACATAACACAGTGGAGACCCATCCATGCTGTTGCATCTTTCCATAGTGTGTCCTGTTTTCCAATGATTGGATCTATCACAATTTGTTAATCCATTTACCAGTTGATGGACATCTGTGTTGTTCCCACCTTTTGGCTTTGTGAATAAAGCCACAGTAAGTGTTCATTCTTCAGTCTTTTGTATGGACACGAATCTTCATTCCTCTTGAGAAAATGATTAAGGGAGCATGTGGGATACTGGGTTTTGTAATAAGTGCATGTTTAACATCATAAGATGCTGCCATACTGTTTTTCAGAGTGGCCGTGCCATTGAGATTTCTAGATGCTCTGAATCCTTGCCAGCATTTGGTATTGTCAGTTTGGGATGAGGAAGCAGTGTTGGGTTTTTTTGTTTTTGTTTTTTGGGTTTGTTTTTTTGTTTTTTGGTGGTGGTGTTGTTTTTCAATTTAAGCCACTCCGCTAGGTATGTACAGGTATTTCATTTTGTTTTTAGTTTAATCTGATGTCTGATGATGTTGAACATCATTTCGTTTGTGTATTTGCCATCTGTACCTCCTCCAAGGTGAAATACCAAATCTTTTGTCAGTTTTTTCTCGTTGAGTTTTTCTTATTCCCAAATTTTGAGAGTTGTTTAGATATTCTGATACAGGTCCTTTATTGGGAATGTTTTATGGATGTATTCTAATCCATGACTTATCTTTTCATTTGTTTAATGCTGTCTTCCAAGAACAGACATTTTTAATTGATCAATTTAAAATTTATCAAAATATCAGACTTTATGGGTTGTTTGTTTTTTCTTTTCTTTTTTTTTTTTTCTGGTCCCATCTAAGGTATCTTTGCCTAATCTGGGTCACAAATATATTCCTATGTTATCTGTTAAAAGTTTATAGTTACGGATTTTACATTTATGATCATTTTAAGTTTTTCTTTAATTTTTTATCTGATTTTTTATCTGATTTATATTTTATCTGATTTTTTTATTTTTAATTTTGTTTATGATACAAGTTGTAGCTGTTCAAGGAAAGTTTTTGTTTTTTTTTTCCCCTGTCTTATGGAGCTTTATTACTTCCAGTACCATTTGTTAAGAAGAAGGTACTTTATCTCCATTGAATTGCTTCGGCATCTCTGTTGGAAGTCATTTGACTATGTGTCCCTCTATTTCTGGACTCTGTTCTGTTGTTTTGTGTATCATTTTGCCTTTATCACACTGTCTTGATTATTGTTTTAATTAATATGTAATTGATTAATTGATTAATTACATATCTTGAAATGTAATGTGAGTTCTTCAACTTTGTTCTCTTCAGAATTACTTTGGATATTCTAGGTCATATCCTTTTCCTTTTAGAATCATTCTATCTCCTAAAAGTTTCCTGGGATTTTTGCCTGTCATCATATGAGATCTATAGATCAACTTGGAGAGAACTAACAGAACTGACATTGGAACATACTGAGCCTCTCAATCCCTGAACACACTATAGCTTTTCATTTAGTGATAAGGTGGGTTAGGAACTATGAAAGTACATGATCTGTTTTACATTTTAGAAGAATCAGTTGCTCCTGTTTAAGAATTGACTCTAGTGGGGCACTGGTTGAAGCAGTGACAATTTAGGAAGCTATTCAAGTGATTCAAGTAAGAATCCATGGTATTAAGTTAGCACTGAGGAGTAGCTTTGCAAATAGAGTGTGCTACCAAAGGTAGGATTTTTGACAATGGGATAAAAACCTGTTTTGTTTTACATCTCAGTTTAGTTTGATGAACATTTTTTTTTTATGATTTGGGTCCATTTCACTCCCTTTCTTTGAATTCTATATTCTTTATCCTGATTCTATTTTGCATTTTGGTCTATTCCTTATATTTTGAGATTCACCTTTGCCTGTGGTGTGGATTGCAAATTTTTCTCTAATATGTTATATTTTGGCCCTGCTTATAATTTCTATCTTTGCCATAAAGAAATTTAATTATTATTGTCATCAACTTTAGCAGCCTTTTCTTTTATGAATTCTGAATTTTGAGTCCTATTTAGGTATTTTCCACTTTCCCCACCAGTCCTAAGATATGATTGATATGTGATATTGCGTTAGTTTAGGATATGCACCAAAATGATTTCATATAGGTATATATTGCGAATTGATTGTCACAGTAAGTTTAGTTAACATCCATCACTTCACATAGTTAGAATTTCTTCCTTGTGATGAAAACTTTTAGAATTCATTCTCTTAGCAACTTTCAAATATACATGCAGTCCTGTTAACTATAGTCGCCATGCTGTATGTTACAT